TAATATGGGTAAATGTTGGTACCTCAGTAATTTACAGCGGCAGTGACCAGAACCTGTTTTGAATTGCCGAAACTCATGGCTGCATTGTTTATTAGTTGCTAATCTATAATGGCTTGTTTTTTGTCTGGCTGACTTCTTTGTTAAATCCCCCCTTGAGTTTCCAAATGAATTAATGTCAGCCTATGGGATATCTGGTCATCTAATCAAGGGTTTGGAACTAAAAAAGTGCAAGTGGCATTGAACAAAGTTTATATGTGGTTGTAGTTTTAGTTTTTGTAATTGCTGATATAACAGTTTTGATCCATTAAGAAGTTGTTACAAAGGATTATTCTTCTAACTTGCAAACATCAATAGCATTTTTGCATGCACACAATATTGCATTATGTTTTTTAAAAATTACTTATTTACTGCAATAAGTTAATGAGCCTTGAACTTCAGCACTAATAAGTCATGAGTAATGATAACAAAGTAACAACATGATTTAACACATGATGATTATTTGTTTGAATGATAACAATATACATCTGAATTAATTTAATTCATTCCATAAATAACAATTAGTCAACATTAATCTTCCTAAATATTCATAAATTCCTGAATTCATGGTAATTAAGGTGTTGGTTTAGATTCGTCAAGGTGGGTAGAATTTAACTGTTTGATGGTATGAATATTGGTTAATACGAATATTACTTATTTGGCCTTTTTGTTTTAGTATTTAAAAAAATTGAAAACAAGTGTTAGTTACTTGTCAGTTACTGTCAGGTAAGGGGACCTTCATTTAAAAGATTTATCAGTAATCATTTTCAAAGAAAGCATCTAGAAATAAGCCCAAAACATAACAATGGAAGAAGACAATTTTTTTATGCTCATAATTCCCGTATAATCTAAATATGTATGTTAGGTTATAAATAAACCAAAACATATGAGATTTGGGAGCATCAATAAGAGGCTCTTCAGAGAAACATTCAACACAACCCATTTAAATTATTATGAAATAATGCTATTCAGGAACACAGGAAAGATATAAAGAGCTCATTTAGAACCTAAGGTGCATAAAAAGGTATGCTATGGTTCTTACCATCTCATATCTGTAGCAATGAAAACAGTATCAAATGGATCTAAAACTAAATATAAAGAGCTCATTTAGAACCTAAGGTGCATAAAAAGGTATGCTATGGTTCTTACCATCTCATATCAATATTTAGGAAACACTGTTCCAAACCACAAGCTGCTAACCAGGAACAAGATCTGGCACCTAGTTTGCCCTGTTTTTTTTTTTAATGTTTAAAAGTATTTCATCACTTGTAACTTTGGCTCTGAGCCTGAGTGAGTATCCCCAATTCTTCTGTGAAATAGACCATAATTACACTCCACAAGCAATCCTTAAGCATAGTCAAAAAACACAGTATATACAGTCCTCGACCAAATATCACTGTTTTCAGTTTTCCAAAAGATGGAGAAATTTCACATTGTACCAGCAAATTTACCAATATGGGACAGATTTCTGTCCATTCAAGAAAATAATCTTTATATCCTGTGACACTGTGAGGAGATAACAATGCTTTGATGATTTACTGTGAATAGAAGACCACCCACAAAATACTTTTTGTGTCACCCACAAAACACATAATACTCTAGGCTTGCCACTTATCGTCCTACCGGTCCAAATCTCTCTGCTCTAGGTTTATTCCTTTACAACTGTGAATAGACCTCTGTAAAGCAACAGTGAATAGAACACTGTGCAACAGAGTTTTCCTGGAAATTGCTGGAAGTGGTTCAGTGTGGTTTTTTTTGTTTTGTTTTTTGTGTGTTTTTTGTTTTATTTTGTTTTTGCAGTTTATGAGACGGGTAGGAGAAATAATAATTATTTGTCAATCATTCAGGGTTTTACCCTTGATCCAGCTTATGCTTACTAAGATATGAAATGTGTGTTACATGTGCATTATACACTGTATGGTCAAAGGTTTCTGGACACTTAAAACTCATATGTGCTTGTTGAACAATCCATTCCAGATTTAGTCCTCCTTTTGCTGTTATAATAACCTCCACTCTTCTGAGAAGGCTTTCCACTAGATGTTAAAGCTTGGCTGTGAGGATTTGTGCTTATTCAGCTACAAGAGCATTAGTGAGGTCCGGCACTGATGTTGGGTGAGGAGGTCTGGAGCGCAGTCAGCATTCCAGTTCATCCCAAAGGTTTTCAGTGGGGTTGAGTTCAGGGCTCTGTACAGGCCACTTGAGTTCTTCAACTATAACCTTGGTAAACCATGTCTTCATGAAGCTCCCATTGTGCACAGGAGTACTGTCATGCTGGGACAGGTTTGGGCCTCTTAGTTCCAGTGAACAGAAATTGTAATGCTACAGCATACAAGGGCATTCTATACAATTGTGTGCTTCCAACTTTGTGGCAACAGTTTGGGGAAGGATCACATGGGTGTGATGATCAGGTGTCCACAAAATTCTGCCCATACACATACAGATTTGTTGGTGTTTGTTGGTGCAGAAATGGGGCCATATTCAGATTTGGCAACTTAAGTCCAAATGTTATAGAAGTATGTATGTGGGGACTGATGATCATCTTCACAGATGGCCTAAGCACTCTTCTGAAGCCAATTTTCCTTGGTGAGATTATGCAAATCACCTGTGTGTAGTTCATGCTTTCATGGTTGCCAGATTTGTCTTGATTAGAAGCATCCAGGAAAGGGGTTTTCAGTGCTGTCTACACAACCAGCTTTAAACGCAAGCACTTGTGTTTGCTGATGGTTTGAAAAAGATAAGGTGACTGAGCACTCATCTGCTACACTTACAGATCACTTCAAAAAAAGGTCCTTGGGATTAAGACGTTGTCTCTAATCTCCTCTGTGCAGAAAAAAAAAAACTTTTTGTGGATGAGAAAGGAATGGTACTATTAATTAATAAACAGTGTCATATTTATGTGTCTAATATTAGCCTCAAACTGTATTTTGTACTTATAAATGTATGTACAATGCTCAAAACATGAATTTCAGCATGACATATTGTGGTTACATCAAAATGTCAGACAGTGGCTGGATTTAATACTGTTCCTTGCTCGAACTGATATCACGCAAGAAAAATGGGCTTAAATTCAGGGTCAGAATCACCCATAACTGAGGCCTACTTCTGTTTTCCTCAAACCCCACCCTGTGTGCGTAACTCTCAAGTAATTAAGTCTATAGTTACATCTGATGTCTGAATATCAATTTGCTAAATTTCCATTCTCAACACTGACTACAGCCCGTAGCTTGGATATTGTGAAGGATTTTAAATCAACATTCCTGATTATAATATTTTAATGATGCTTATTAAAGTCCTTTGCCTTGTGTCCAATAAAATAGATTCTTTGGAATCCAGTGACTGCTCCATATGTTTTGCATTTTCATGCTGCTGTTGTTAATGTACTTGTTGTGCTTAATGACTGAAGGGGAGCCCTTGTTTTGATTTGGGCACTGACAATATAGTGATTTGATATGCTCAAGATGGTTCTTGTTCTCACAGCGCATGCTGTGCTGAAAGACCATTTGGATACACATGATCATACAAGAGGAATTATTATTACTCTCATAGATGAGTTTCAGGAGCCTGTTTGGTGCATCTATGGAGAGAACAGCCATAAATCAGCTAGTGAGCTTAAAATTGATTCCAGCTCAGCTCAAATCATATCAGTTTCTAGACCATCTCAAAAGCAAACACCACATAAGGCTTAATTAAGTGATATACAGCATGTGCCTTCCATTTATCTGTGCACTATATATTTTGGCATGAGGTCAAAGGAGCATCAGTCTCATGCTTTATGTATGGTATGTATAGGTTATGTCTGCAGATATAGAAAATTCTGTAATGTAGGACACAAATTTCCTTTAGTCGCAGGGTCATTAAAATCACTTGGCCAAATTGTCACAAAGTACATCACTTGACAAAGAAGGCTCCAAAAGTATATTTGAAACTATTTTATTGATAACTACTGATACTTGATGCTGCAGCAGTCTGTATGAGAATTCACTGTGAGTTGTCCTTGCTGATTTTGGGTAGTGTGAGGTAGATCCTGGCTGACTGTTTGAATTCTTATGTGTTTTACACTGTCGATTTAAAACCTATTACTGAATTTGGAGTAAATAATAATAATTCACTTCAGCTGTAACTAAAATTGCCAAGACTCGACTATTCTGTTTAGATTCGCTCTCTGTGCAGGCAAAATATTGGAAGGATTTGTGTTGGCACAAAGAATTTTCAAGAAATTTGTGTTAATCCAATAAATAATGTTGAATAAGCAGTTAATCAACTGATAAACACCACATATTTTATTAGGTGAAATACAATGGAAAGCTATGTGTCATATGAAAAAAAAAAAAAAAAAACAACACTGGCGTTTACCTCAGTGGTAATATAGCCTCCATCCATTCTTTATAGAAAACGTCACCATATTTATTTGTTTGTTAAATAGCAACACATTTTTAATCTGTTTATTATTAGGCTTAGATTTTGTGAAGCCACCATACACGTCCCTGTGACTATGGAGACAGTATGGACAGTATGGATAACAATATTGTTATAGAAACAATAATGTATTAGAACGTGTGATTCATCTTGCAGCCAGCACTGCTGTTGAGTAATAGAAAATTAATTAACACCATCAGATTTGAGAATTCAAAAATGCTTTGATATAAAAGGAAAACAGGTTTGCCCTTATGATTGATCCTCGAGGTATACCTTTAATAGGACCTAACTATTAAATATGTATAAAAATGTTTCATAATAATCCAGCATTTTATGCCTAAGAGTATATTGGAAACTACAGTGGACATGCACAAATCAGGATTTATTACTGAGGAGAAGAAAGACTAGGGAGTATTTGTATAGTACCAATTCTCTGCTGCATTGACAGGAAAGTACAGATAGGAAGTTGGTCTGCTTGAGCCTTCTTCAGCCTTCTTCTTACTGACTAAGTAACCCAGGGCCTTAACCCTTCCAAGAGGACAGTCTATTGCCAAAACCCAGGATCAAACGAGGGACCTTTAGATCGTCAGGCTAACACTCTCCCAACTGAGCTATCTCAGCTTGAAGTCTTGCTACTGGTACTCAACATTTGCTGGTGAGAGATTTACAGTACAGAATAATTAATTATTCAATTTATGTCTCATAATGGATAATGGATAATGTTTATGAGCCGGAACATCCAAGAGGAATTCCTAAACACAGGACAAGCCTATTTATTCCCAATGCTCCATAGCAATGTCTAGGTCCGGTCATTCCAACCAGCCACTGGGATGATTAGCAAAAGGAACCTTATAGGTAGCTACTGTCACTGAAATAGATTAAAACACTGGTGAGGAAATGAAGCGGCTCGACGAGGAGCAACTCCTGTTGTGCAAACTGCCATGGCTTTCAAACTCTCCTCTGCCTCCTCTGCTCTTTCCATGAGGTAATGCTTGGCTCTAAAATGTGCTATGAGTTAATAGTTCTGCTAACAGCCTAGAAAGAAGAAAATCTTATATTGCACTTTGGTGGTTGTTAGAAGCAGTGTTATATACATTCGGAAAACTTTCCTTGTGTGACTTCTTCTGGTTTGTCTCAAAGATTGCATCAGCCACTGCTATAGCTACAAATTTTAAATATGGTTATCTATAAGAACTGGATGTAAATGTAGTAAAGTATTACATTATAAAAAATATCAGTACACTGTTTCCCATGTTTTCTGTTGAGTAAAAACTAGCACACTGATGTATGCAACATAATTATAGCAGCAGCTCGGACAGTAGATCTGGCTTCAAGGTTTATATTAATATAAATGTAAAATGGTCATTCTAATACATTAGCAATAACTTATACAAAAGGCTTGTATGGTGGATGGTCTGCATAAACAGACTTATTAAAATAAATGTGTGTGATTGTTGATATGGTAAAATTTTCTGTGAGGAGACATTTGTTAACAGTTGTAGAAGGAGTTCAGATTCAGTGCATTGTAGCAATCAATGTTAAAACTGTTGCTTTAAGTTTTCTGACACAGGAAACTTCAGGCTGCATTTTTCTGGCTTATTAACCTCAGGAGAGAAAAAAGAAAGGCTAGTGAGGGAATGGCCGTTTCTGCTAGAATGGACATTCTACAATATTAAATGTATCTATAAACAAATAAAAAGTATGACATGCTGTTCTTAATGAATAAAAATAATTGTAATTGGCAAACTGCTGTGGTATAAGAGGAATAAAACACTTCTGGACATGCTGTTATTGGAAAATATTGGGAGTTGGGAGTTGATCCCAGTTTGTGTTCACTGCATCATGTTTATTATTTTCAGAACACCCCATTATGTTTTATTCCTTACATACTATACTATACCATCATATGTTCCACATCTTGATGGTGTTTTCTTATATGTTAAAATGGCCTGACTATTTGCTCATAGGGTTTGTATTTCTGTGACTTTTTTTTTTTTTTTTTTTTTTTTTTTTTTTTTTTTTTTTTTTTTTTTTTTTTTTTTTTTTTTTTTTTTTTTTTTTTTTTTACTCTGTGCCTTATTGCTATTAAATGCTCTTTTAGGTCATTACATGTCCAGATGTATCTATCAGAACTCCCCAGACTGAACACTGAATAGTTACTACAGAACTGAATATGATTTTAAATCACTGACTCTCCACTTTCTCTATACGTTCTGGATAGTATGGTTTGGATTTTGCCGCCATTCTCAGATCACATCCCATCCTAAGCTGCATTCCTCCAAAGGGCTGGTCTGGATCACAGAGAGACTTCAAAGGCTGAGCGTCAGTAAAAACAGTGCTCAGTGCTGTCCTTCCCTCACACCTTTACTCAGGTCTTTCGATTGAAGCACAAGCATGCACGGGTGAAATATACCAGAACTGCCCCTTTATCTCTAAACTACTAAGAGAGTGAGAGAGTTACCCATAGGAATGTGTTTCTATTCTCCACAGACTTTCATGCCTTTGAACTAAATCTAAGCCATGGAAATATGTAGCTTCTTTCATCGTAAATCGGTTAAAAAATAGATCAAACTCTCATGAGATATACTACAAATTTAAATCAAAGCCACTTTTCAATATTTACTGTAGTATCCTCTCAGTTCACAGTTTATAAAAACTTTAACTGTCGTTAATTGTTAGTGTGTTGTTGTTTTTTTAACTTTCCCAGACCTTTTATAGATTAAAGCAGCGTTTACTCTGTGTGATGTTTTTTTTTCCATTATATAAATATTTTAAATGTTACGTTGTACTCCATTATAACTTATTGTACATAAAATTAGGAATCTCACTCTTCAAAAGTGAAAACATGGCTGTTTTAAGCTTAAATGTGTATAACAATGCACATATTTTTTTACCACAGCTCACTTGAATTCTCCAAACTGATTGGTCAGAATGTGTTGATTCATTTTCTATAGCAGCAAGGCTCTGATAGTAATGCCAACTGTAATGAAAATCACAGGTTTATATTCATGAGCTCGTCTTTGACATTATTGTTTCTACAGTGACAACTTACACAGGGACTTGTATGGCTGTCGCTCCACATAAACATATTAAAAAACAGGTAATTATTGAGATAGTGATGTTCTCTGTGATGAGAGGTATATTTAGCCATTTTGAAAGGAGTCTCCAGTGTCAGAGCTTTGGAACAGTCAGAGATGAAGCTGTAAATTTTTGTTTTCAGACATAAGAAAGTCTTCAGGGCAAAAGAGTTTGTGCTTTGTGGTTTTTCAGTAACATGATAAGGTGCAGTAACTTCAAGAGAGTAAAAGAGACACTGGCGAAGGAATGACTGTTCCACACCATTAAATGTAACTGTAAATAGATAAAAAATAATGATGTGCTGTTCTAATAAATAGAAAATTGCTTTGGTGATATAAGAGGAACAAAACACTTCAGGACTTGATGTTAAAGGAAAATAATCTACTTCAAGGAGGTACCAATAACTCTGCTTTGTGTTGGTCACACCACCCTGTCACTGGTTATTTCCTATAACAGCATGTCCTGTTGTGCGTTATTCCTTACTGACTACTAAGGTCACCTAAAGCTTTACCTTTTTTTTTTTTTTTTTTTGAATATTGAATTATTTGCTATGGATTTTTTTTCACTAAACAAAAGAACAAAGCACAGCAGCACTGACATTTTTAGCCACATCAAGAAATCCAGAATCTATGTATATTCAACCCTACACCTGACTCCTCTCTTTTTGCTGGTTCTGTGATACATGACCTGTATGAATGCATGCATGAAAGAACATATTAGGTTCTTATATTTTAGTAGTAGAATACTTTATTGTCCTCAAAAGGAAAATTGTTGTGGACTACATGTTGCTGCAGACATACAATAAACAGATAATAATTTAATAATAATTTCAGATATTTTATGATGCAATAGCACTTGGCCGTCACGCTTTCAATACTACTAGCTTCCTTTTTCTTGAGAAATGCACCAAGTCTAATGTAGTAAATGTTTTTGCACTTAAATGAATTCTTCAGAGAGAATTTACCCATAAAAAATACTTAAATTTTTTTTTTTTTAAAAACTCTCCACTACTTCTGGTTGTCTCTTGCTCCACTGTTAAACTGTCTTGCTTTTTTGTCATTGAAACAAGCATGACATGTTTATATTTTCAGTAGTTTTATTGAAAAATGCCTCCTCTGTTTCAGAAATAAATAAGAAAATAAGGCTATGGAATTCACAATCTGCAGTTACAAACATGAAGCAGCAACACTATATCCATAGTCTTGCACACAAATGCCAACTGCGTTTGATACTGATAACACAACAATGAGAACAACTATATTCTGATTAAAATAAACAAAAATAAACAAAAGAAAACAAATAAACTTCCTAAATATACACGACAGACATGCAATTCCACCTTTGGTAAAACATTGGCTGTGAGTTGATATAAAAAAAAAACTGATAAATATTTGTTTTAGGATAATGCAATGGAGGCCACATGTTACTGCGGATGATGAAACGAACATTTCTCGGGTGATGAAGGCAGATAATGTGAATGACCGATGTGTGGGTGTGTATTTGACACTTGCTATGCTTTATGATCATGTTGGCAGGAAGCAGAAAGTGTAACTATTTCTCATCAGCAATACTAGTACACGCTGTGATTTAGCATAATGGAGCAGACAATTTACAAGCGCACAAGGGGAGTAGCTAAAGGGGGGGGGGGGGGGGGGGGGGGGGGGGGGGGGGGGATGTGCAGACCCTCTGTCATATCAAGTTCAAAGACCTTCAAGATGTCATGTGTGAAAGCAACTTTAAATGGGAAAAAAAAAAACTTTACATTTATGCAAAGAACATCTTTTCTATGATGTTATCCATTTGAATTGTCTTCGGGACAGCGATCTCTTGCGGCGCTGGCTGGGTGAGAGCTCAAAGTCTTCTTCAGGTATTTGGAATTCACGGGGCTCGGGCTCGCGTGGAACCGCTTCTGCTTGGAAATATCATTTTGCCCAGTTGAGCAATAAAGTAACAGTACACTTAAAGTCAACAAGAGCATTGTGTTGTAATACCACAGCCATGACACTAAGATCAGAGCAGAATTATGGGTTGGAAAATAAAAGACACTGGGGACTGATAGAGAAGACAATAAAGTGGGTTCATTTAGCATTTTTTTTCCCATTTTGGATGAGTAGAATGAGACGTAGACATGAGAGCATGAGTTCATGGGTATATTTAAACATCAAACATATTGGAAGATTCAAGTGTGTGACATGAGCCATTGTAACACAGCTGAGGAGCTGGTTGTTCAATATCAGCTAAATAACTGATGACAGAAGAGGAGACTTTCTAAAAATACCATCTCTGCTACCATGTACACAAATAACTTTCTTTAAAAAGAAAAAACCTCCAGGGTCAAGTATAAAAAGGCACGTGGTTCAAATCGGCCCTGAGCAAAGTCAAAGGGTATATCACTTATGGCACATCATCTTTAAAAAAAAAAAAAAAAAAAA